CTGGCGGTCCGGTGAGGCGGAGCCTCCGCGGCGGCAGGAAGAGGGGTTTGAGGCCACTGTTCAAGGTAGGTGCTGGTGTTGTCACCGCCATCGGCAGCAGGACGGAGGTAGCTCGGTCGGGAGACGGCAGCGCGGCACGGCTACGCTCCGGTTCCTTCCGTGAGTTTCACGTGCGGGGCTGTGGGAGGAGGGAGTTGGAGTTGCGGTGTTTCGCCCCAGCCCCCCGGTGGGAGCCGGTCTCGGTGACGGTCCCGTGGCTGGCGGAGGGGCCCCGTGCCTTGTCTGGGTGCGTTGTCCGTGCCCGGACACACGTTCCACGGCCCCACTCCCTGCTGGGCCGGGCTGTCCGAGGCGGGTGCTTGCGGCAGGACACCCGGGTCTGGCTCAGCCCCGCCGGTCTGCGGCGGCCCTGAGGGGAGCCCTTGTCCTGCCGCTGCTTGACGGGGTGGGCGCGTCGAGGTATCTGCCGAGCCTTCCTTTCTCCCCGCCGGGAGAGGGCGGGAAGGAAGAGCTCCCCTCCCGGCAAAGTTTGCCGCGGAGGGAAGCGAGGCCGCCTCCGCTGTGGGCCGGCGGTGGGGGAGCTGGGCGGCCGTCCCGGGGCCCGCTGACTCCCGCTTGTCATAGAGTCCGGCTTAAAGGGACAGCGGCGGTTGGGGAGCGGCGCGCGCGGAATGGGGAATATGGCTGATGGCGGGGGGGGGACGGCACGGCGCCCCGCCGGACTCCGGTGCCGGCATGTCTTCACCTCTGGATGGCCAGCCAGGGAAAGCGGTCAAGCGTTGGTATTCTGTTAGTCTTGACTTCCAGCTGCTCGGAGCTGTGGTAGTACGTTTCCCATTAGTGCTTGGGAGTGGCTGTTGTCTTTTTTTTTTTCCCTTTCTTTTTGAAGCCTTCACTGCTCATTCTGTTAATTTCTTAAAAAAAAAAAAAAAGTATTAGACCTCGTAGGTAGTTGCATTAGTTATGACGGATGTATTGCCTGTCTCCCACATTTTTGATTTGCACGTGTTTTTGAGCACACCTATTTGAGTACAACTATTCACCTGCCAGCCTGGGGCTGTGCTGTGGGGACTGGTGGTGGACCGGCGGGTTTCAGGCCCTTCTGAAACAGTAAAACCGCTGTCAGTGTTTTGACTGCCTTGTGGTGGGACTCCAGGTGTGGTGTTGGTAAGTGGGGATGTTTTACCACAGATTGTGCTCAGGTGGCATGCTGTAGGCTTGCAGGTGAGTGCTCTTACAGAATCCAATAAAAAAAAGAGAATTAACTGCTGCTAATTAGAAATCCTACGCTACTTATTAATATTTGGCATGGAAATGGGAGTCTCCTTACAAGAGGATCAGCCTTTTAGTAAGTCAGTTCTCTTTATGATATTTCATTTGATAGGAATAAGGCCTTTTGTTTCCTTTTTTGACTGGGGGCACTCCTTTGTATATACGGGTGTTCCAGCATTAAAACCACCAGTAGTGAATGTAGCTTTAAGAAAAGTACAATTCAATCCCAAAATCTTAATCAAACTTATTTTTTAGATGATTTGTATTTCAGGCTGTTGTTTCTATCTTTGTCTTGTTTTATAGATGTGAACTCAGGTGTCTGTCATGTGCTGTAGATCTCAAATCAGGAGATAGTTTTTAAAATAACTTTACTGGAAGATTGATGCATGTTTGCCAACAGAAAAAAAAAAATGGAAAGCAGGTTGAATTTAATCCTCATGTACTCAGCTAGTTTCTTTGATGTAGGCATCCCATCACTAGTGCGGGCAAAAATGGAAGGTCTGGAGGTAAGGGGTAGCAAGCAGCCAAAAGCAGATATAGAACACACAAGGTCTTCCTTTGGCAGGTGGACGCAGAGGTCTGCGCAAGCATGTGCGCAGGCAGGCTCAAAGTAATCTCAGAGATACAGTCCAAAATAGAAACCCACCACTTCGTTGCTTTATCTGCTTCTTTGTCAAGTGAGAGAACCTCTGGGCTGCTGAGTGTCATATAAAAGAAGATATGATTGAGTCTGTTCTTCTGGAAATTATTTCTCTGTATATGGCTGATACCACAAAATCTTCAGTTTAAGAAGAGTATTCTTCTTGATTACTTACATATGAATTCTAAGGAACTGTGGTGTAAAATCCAAACATATTGAAGATAAACTTATTCTTAGCATATTGCTTCCATTTTACACGTAGTCATGGCTTCAAGGTAGCTGGGAGGTTGGGATTTGTTCTGCAGTCCTCATTTTACAGATTGACAGAAGCATCCATGTTGCACACCTAAGAATGATGGCATGTACAATGAAATGGAGTCATTTTGTAACTTGCCAGGTTTCCATTTCACACTTAATTGGATGTGACCATTACTGGTGATATTTGAGAGGAGTAAATCTCCTGTGATGCTTATACATATAATAGTAGTGTCCAAAGTCATAGCTATTAGTACAAACAAAAATTTGAAAATAATCAAAAATTAAATTGAACAAGCTAGAAAAAGTATTTCTGCTCTATACCTGAAAACAACTTATAACAGTCAGGATTAAATGCCTTATGGAGTAGGTTATACCATATCAGCCATATTCCATATGGTAGGTTATACCACATTAGTCCTCTTGTGTCTAGAGAACAATATCTGGTGCTGGCTGCTCTGTGCAAATTGTTGCCAGAATGGTTTACCAGTCTGGTCTAGAATGTCAGTTTGTATAGCCAAAGTATTAACAATATTCTTTTAAAGAATCTTTGCTTGAAGCATCGTAGTTCAGTCTAACATTAAAGTGACTGAAGGAAACACTGGACATGCTCTTAACTAGTGAGCCTAGCTGAAGTTGTTTTCTTTTTTTTTTTTAAATGCTGCAGACCTTGGATCAATCAAATAAATACAGGATATTTTCCTAGAGCACAACCAAGTATTTTCTGATTACATAAAACTGTAGCTTGAAAGGAGATGTAACCACTGAAACATTTCATATTTGTAGGATACTGCATGGAACCTTTCTTTGATCTCTGCTTGGCATTGCTGTCCCCTCCCTTCTCTCTTTCCCCTACTCCCCCTTCTTCTTTTTTAGCTTTTTGTAAGGCAGTAAGAACGTGTAAAATTGAAGTGCTTTGGGATGCTGAAAGATAGGATTTACGACATGCTCCTTAATGAATAAGCCTTTCATTTCTCTGGGATAAGAGGAGGACTCTTATAATGTCCTGCCGGTCTTGCTTGTACTCAGATTCAGTTTCCTCCGGTTGGTCAAGGTAAGGAGGATAGACTGTTACACTCCTCAGGGATGTTGAATCAAACTAAAAGCCTTTTTAAAATAATTGCTCAACATGTTCCTAAAGAGAGATCTAAAGTCTTACTTGAAAAATATTTTGATTTAGCATTTCTTCATTTTTATGATGGCTTTTTTTATTTGTGTTAAAACATACATTTCAATGCAATTTGGTAAATTTGCTGTTAAGAGTGTGGGGGACTGAAAGTGTGGAGTACTTTGTATGTTAAGATTATGATGAACTTCTGGAAGCATAAGGTGAAATCAAGAAAGATTATGAGATATAGCTCATGACCGTGTGAGCAAAGAACAAGTACTGACAGAAGCAGCGTAGGTATAAATGGGAAGCAGACTTCATGGTTAGTGCTCGCTTTTGAAACTTGGTGTTCTTCAGGTATACATCTTAAAATATTTGGGTTTATTATTACTGTTTTTGAGAAACACAAGTTGCACAGAGACACTCTTTTTCATCTCTATGTGTGAATGTGAATGAAATGTAAAAGTAGCCTCTAAAAGAATGTGTGTAGATTATATGTGCAGAGATGCCAAAAGAAAGCAAGCTTTTCTGATTTCCTTAATAGAAGCAAGCTGCCTGACCTTCATCTGAGACACTTAGCAGTCATTAATTGGAAAAGCGCTGTTGTAACAGCACTCCATGCACTGTGGGCACTTGCTGCCCATCTTAGAGAAAGGGGTTCCGTCACTTTCCCTTCACCCTTCAGTGTATTATCAATTACATAATTCAATTAGAGGAATCTGCCATTTAACACAAAGAAAAGAAGTGTGTTTTGCTGAAACTAAAACACAATAAACGATAACCTAGGCTGTTCCTGCTGTAGTGATGAACTTCCTGTATTTTATGCAACAGATATCACTTGGCAAATAGTCTGTTTTAAGATACCGTGGTTCTGCGACAGCCAAACAGGATGTGCAACCAGATGAAGTGGAAGAGTTTAAAGTGCAGCAGCTACAGTGGATCACTGAATAGAAGGAAACATGGCTTTTATTTTGAACAAAGTCATTTTCATAAACTCATATTTGTTACCTCATATTTCTTCCTTCCTTTTGTATTCATGCTTTTGCAGTCCTACATTTATGAAGACCAGGACAGATGGGTACCCCATCAGTCCGTCCAGGATTACTGGCAGTGACAAGGGGAGCGAGGGATGCTGCTATCAAGTCCTTTGGGTTATTCTTGACTGTTAATGATATTGCATGATCTTTGCTGTTTCCTTTTGACAAAGAATGCCAAGGGTAATGTTGAGTCATAGTGCATATTTTCAGTTCCATGTACTTGATCTCTTTATTTGCAGCAGGCATGCCATTCTTATTACTCCATCTCTGCTGCTTTAATCTGTGCTGTTTACATTCATGGTCCTGGTGTCATAATACAATATTTACTATATGAATCTCTACAACAGGCAGGTATTTCAAATGATTGTAAAATAAGCTACACACGTATCAAAGGTGTATAGTGTGTTTTAAAATAATCTGTCTCTCTGCCATGGTTCCTAGTGTGTAGGGTTAATCAGGGCTTAAATAAAACACCAGAAGTTTGCTTCTGACACTCCCACTGGATGTTGCAAGAGGCCTACTAATTTTCAGTCTTCTGTGTTTGCATATGCCTCAGGTCTTTTATACTTAGGAAGAAAATAGCATTATTAGTCTTTCATGCTTAGAAACAAAAAGGGATTATGAAGAAATGTTTACACTAAAACTTTTTTTTTCTTTTTCCATTTTTTTTTCTTTGTTAGACACAGAGCTAGATTAACCCTATAGGACCCCTATAAAACTGTAGAAGATTTGTTTCACTTTTATCCCTTCCACCCAAGTATGTGAACGAGTATTTTAGTGGCTGTACATCTGCTTTCTGTTGCAGGCGTGCAAAGAATGTCTTTCAATCCATATGATAAAACAATTACTCATCTTAAAAATGATGATCCACAGCATATTCCTTCTGGCTTATTTAAAAAATGTCTAAATGTCTAATTTCCGGCCTAAATTATTCATGGCCTTTATACACTCATTCGTTCTTGTTTAGTATCATTCAGTAGCTTAATTCTGTGTTCTTTCCCTGTGATTGATGGATATACTTCAGTTTGTTTATAGAGAGCAATAATGTTTGCTTTTAGACTTTATGTTGCTAGGCTGAACAATCCAGCCTTTGTCTCATTACGTACTTGGAAAATTAAGAGAAGGCTGAGGGATGACCTCATGGCAGCCTACAGCTTCCTCAAGAGGGGTCAGTGGGGTGGGAGGTGCTGATCTCCTTTCTCTGGTAACCAGTGACAGGACACGAGGAAATGGAATGAAGCTGCATCAGGGGTAGTTCAGACCTGAAATGAGGAACAGGTTCTTCACTGACAGGGTGGTTGGTCACTGGAACAGGATCCCCAGAGAAGTGGTCCTGGCACCAAGCCTGTCAGAATTTAAGGGGCATCTGAACAACGTTCTTAGCCATATGGTTTAGTTTTAGGTAGCCCTGCAAGGAGCACGGAGTTGGACTCGAGGACCCTTATGGGTCCCTTCCAACTTGAGATCTTTCTGTGACTCCAATAGCCCCTTCTCCTACTGCTTACAGTTTGAACAAACCTTTCTTGTACATGTTGACCGGTACTGTACTTGCTGTTGTACATGGAGACAGTGACACTAATAAAAGCAGATCTGTAATAGAGGAAAGTTGAAATTACTAAGTACACCTTAAAATCACTTTTTTATTATTGTTGTTTGTTATTTTGAGCACATCACAGTAGCTGTGATCATGTAATTGCCTAATAGATCTGTTCTTTCCAGCTGATAAACTGGTAGCTAAGAGCAGACAGTCCTGAAGTGCTCAACATAAAAACAGGAATAAAAACAGAAACAAACAAAAAGATACTTACGTTGATTTGATTGTCAAAATTACCCATTTCTTTCTTAAGGCACTGTGATCTTCCTGTGAATGAGTAGTACCTCTTCAGCCTTGCTTCAGCAGATTCTATAGGTTCTCTCCAATATTTTGTGTTAATTTCCTTTATGCAAATGCTAAGGCTACGTTTTTGAAATACTCCTAGTTAATGAAACTGTCGCTCCACTCAATTCAATGCTAGTCACATTTGTCTTTGTTTAATCACTCGTATAGATTTTTTTTTTTAACATCTTCTAATCCAGTTTCTTCATGTTTAGTAATTTTCCATGCTGTAGGATGGGTGAAAATATACCAAATTCTGCCACCCCGACAGGTCTGCTGCGTTTTCTTTTGTCTGATGGAAGGATTTTCTATTTCATCAAAGAAAGATGGTGTAATCTGCCAAGATAGTGTAAGTAAATTCATATTTTGTTTCTTCTGTCACTCATTTTTTCATTTCCCTCTGTCTCTTAATTATTCTTTATTTCAGAATCTGTTCTGTTTCTCCTTCTCATTCTGTTTTATTAAAAGCACGTTCAGTGAAACTAAAATGAATTCATGTACAGGTATGTAGATGTTAAGCAGAAGTAACTCCAAGGTACATTTCTAAACTACAGGATGTTGATCGTAGGGTCAGAGTGGTTAGAGTTGGAAAGGACCTTAAGATCATCCAGTTCCAACCCCCCTGCCGTAGGCAGGGACACCTCACACGAGACCATGCTGCCTAAGGCTGTGCAACCTGGGCTTGAACACTGTCGGGGGTGGAGCATTTACCCCTTCTTTGGCCACCTTGTTCCACTCTCTCACCATCCTTACAGTAAAGAATTCCTTTGTTATATCTTAAAAAAGCTGTCTGATACTTCCCACAGTAAGTTTCTGAGGTCTGTAGCTTATAATGTTGACAAATTATTAAGTGTTGGTGGTAAAGTCTTCTATGTCAGGGTTGAGGTGTTGCCTTGCTGTAAAGACAATAAAGAATCAAGAAGCTGAGACTGAAAGAGAACTTGAGAAAAAGTAGGTGAACCAAGGAGAAGAGGAGAAAGTAAGTCCGCTGTAGAAAGCCAGTTGGCAGAGAAATGTGGCATATGTAGATACTGTTGGGACCATGAGCCAGTGGGGATGTACAGCTAGGAGAGAGAGAAATCCTGTGAAGTCTGGGGGTGATCTGATGTGGATCAGGTAAGGAGCTAGAAAACTTGGGATAGGAGGCGTGTGGCTTATGTGAACTATTGACCAAAAAACTTGAAAGGAAAAACTTGAAAATTGAAGATTGGGCTAATGTGAAGTGGGGTAGAAGAGGGGAGAAGACAGGAAAGACAGACTGGAATGGGTCATGTATCTAACCTGTGATGCAGCAAATGTATTACTTCTCATGTCTCTGTTAACAGGTACTTAAAGACTATATCAAGAATGACTGAGTATAGTTGCTTTGTTCTGTGAGGTCCATTAATACACATTCATAATCTAGCATCAGTGATACATGATTATACTTAAATTCTTCATCCATTTCTGTCCAGGAAGCCATAGCCTTTTGTTTTAGATGAAAGATGGGAATCTGCTTCTATGATTCCTCCGTGTAGCCCTTCCCAGTTGAGTCAACTCTACGTAAAGCTACACCTTTACATCTGTGCAGGTACCAAAGTTGGTTGTAGTCCAGTGTTTTATCTGCAAAACCGTGCTGTTGCTCTGGGACTTCTTTTGGTTCTGGAGTGCCAGTGATTAATTTGCTTTACAAGTTGGCTTCCCTTAATAAGAGTTCTTTTTTCCTTGAACCATGCTTGTGTGCCATAAAGCTAGGTATTTTCAGGAATAAAGAAAAAGAACTTGAAAACTGATTGGTCAGCTGTACAGGCTTACAGCAGTCCATTTCAAGGGGGAAAAAAAATTATGAAAGCTAGCATTTTTTTTAAATCAGAGGTGCTCTCTTGCAGACTTCTGTGTTGTATTCTTTAGTTTTCCATGAATTATTTATATTCAGACTGGCTAAATTCAGTTGCATTTAATTCCTTTTGCAAGCATGGTGTATCCTCAACTCAAGTTGAGGAGCTGGATTGCATTGTACTAAGCATCTCGATCTCATTATAGAAGAGATTAAGGATTTCTGGTGGATTTTAATACATCTTTTATATCCTGACTTCAGATAGCTTTTTTTTTTTTTTCCCCTGCTTGGTTACTAACATTTGTATTGCAACAGTATTAATGTATTTTGATCACAAAATGATCAAGTATGTTAATTAATCACTTTCTGTGATACCTAATTTTAGAGAACCTAGCTATTTCTAGAAAAGTTATTCCTATATAATATAGCTTTTATTACATGTGGCAGTTACAAGAATGGTAATTAAACAATTTGACAGTAAAAGCAGGCTTACTAATTTTTATTTTTTTTTGACTGTCTCACCCAGCTTTTTTCCTGTGAGATTAATACAGAATCACAGGATGGTTGAGATGGGAAGGAGCCTTTGGAGGTCATGTAGTATAACCCAACCCACTAGTTAAGCAGGGTCAGCTAGATCAGGGCGCCTGGCACAGCCTGATCAGTCAGGTTTTGAGTACCTCCATGGAGGTACTCCACAGTTGCTTGGGCGTGGTTTTTCCCATGTTTGACCACCCTCATGATCAAGCAAGTGTTCTCTTCAGATATAATTTCTTGTGGTTCAGCTTATGCCCATTGCCACTTATCGTGTCAGTCGATACCACTGAGTATGGCACTCTTCTCTGCCTTCACCCCACAGAATCATAGAATAGTTAGGGTTGGAAAGGACCTCAAGATCCTCTAGTTCCAACCCCACTGCCATAGGCAGGGAAACCTCACACTGAACCATCTCACCTAAGGCTTTGTCCAGCCTGGCCTTGAACACTGCCAGGATGGAGCATTCACAACCTCCCTGGGCAGCCCATTCCAGTGTCTCACCACCCTAACAGGAAAGAATTTCCTCCTTGCATCCCATCTAAACTTCCCCTGTTTAAGCTTTAACCCATTACCCCTCGTCTTGTCGCTACAATCCCCAATGAAGAGTCCCTCCCCAGCATCCTTATAGGCCCCCTTCAGATACTGGAAGGCTGCTATGAGGTTTCCACGCAGCCTTCTCTTCTCCAGGCTGAACAGCCCCAACTTTTCTCAGCCTGTCTTCATATGGGAGGTGCTCCAGTCTCTGATCATCCTCGTGGCCCTCTGGACTTGTTCCAACAGTTCCATGTCCTTTTTATGTTGAGGACACCAGAACTGCACACAATACTCCAGGTGAGGTCTCATGAGAAGCAGAGTAGAGGGGTAGGATCACCTCCTTCGACCTGCTGGTCACTCTCCTTTTGATGCAGCCCAGGATATGGTTGGGCTGCAAGCGCACGCTGCCTGCTCATGTTCATTTTCTCATCAACAAACAACCAAAAGTCCTCTCCGCAGGGATGCTCTGAATCTCTTCTCTGCCCAGCCTGTAGCTGTGCCTGGGATTGCTCCGACCCAGGTTTAGGACCTTGCACTTGTCATGGTTAAACCTCATGAGGTTGGCATCAGCCCACCTCACAAGCGTGTTGATGAATCTCATACATATTGATAATGTTCTACCTGTTCCCCAGCAAGCCTTCTCTTATTCAGTCTATAAGAAGTCCCACCTTTCCTTGTATGGTGGATGATCTAGTCCCTCAGTCATCTTTGTAGCCCTTTTCTGTACTTGCACCAGTGTGTCCATGTCTCTCTTATACTGGGTTGCCCAGAACTGGACACAGCACTCCAGGTGTGGCCTTGTCAGTCCTAACTGGAAGCTGAGGGATTGTGTCTCTCAACCTGCTGGTGATGCTGTTCCTCAAGGATGCCCCTGGCTGCCTTTGCCATGAGTCCACGCTGCTGGCTCCTGTTCACTTTTTCCACCAGGGCCTTTACTGCAAAACTACTTCCCAGTTGGCCAGCCCCTATCCTGTACTAGTGCATGGGGTTGTCCCTTTCCAGATGCAGAACATTGTGTTAGCCTTGGCTCAACTGCATGAGGTCTGTGTCAGCCACTTTCTCCAGCCTGTCAAGCTCCTTCTAGATGGCTGCATGACACTCTGGTGTATTGGCCACTCCTCCCTCCTTCAGTGCTCCGGTTCATCAGTGAAGATGTTGAACAGGGCTGGAGACAGTATTCATTTCTGGGTTACACTGCTAGTGACTGGCCTACAGGAGGACTTTGTGTTACTGATCATTAAAGCCCTTTGAGCCTAGCAGTTCGGCTAGTCCATTTAACTGTCTGTTTTTCTGGACTATATTTCACCAGTTTCTCTGTGATGGTGTTATGAGAGACTGTAAAATACACATGCTTGGGTAACTAAGTCTGGTTAGTTAAAATAACAGTTTCTCCATACCAGTGTGTTAAATGGCTATTCTGGAGGTTCACAGAGAAGGAGAAGGCTTATCTGGGTGTTCTACCTGCTGCTCCATGGTTAAGGGTACAGCTCTAGCAATGGCTTGAGTTTGATTTTGCTGACAGTAGCACTGAAGGCCTGAAAATGTGTTTCTTTAAATTGTGATCTCAATATCTGAAGTGGGCTTGAATTGTTAGTTAATAAGATGTCCTGGGTTCAGCAGTAGCAGTCATGTTTTTTCCTTTGTGGTAGCTGGTGCAGTGCTGTGTTTTGACTTCCAGCCTGAGAACAGTGTTGGTGAAGCCGATGTTTTCAGTTGTTGCTAAGTGATGTTTACCCTGACCAAGGACTTTGTGAGGCTCATGCTCTGCCAGGGAGGAGGCAAAGCTGTGAGGAAGCAGGGACGGGGCACCTGATCCGGGCTAGCCGGGGAGGTATTCCATACCACAGCACGTCATGCCCGGGGTGAGGGGTAACTGGGAGTTACCCGGAAGGACACGGGCTTCCGGGTGGGACTCGTTTCTTGGCCGGTGGTATCGTATTCTCTTCCCTTGTTATTTTCCCTTATCATTGTTGTCGTTGATGGTAGCGGTGGTGATTTGTGTTGTACATTGGTTGCTGGACTGTTCTTGTCTCAACCCGTAGGAGTTGCACTCTTTCGATCCTCCTCCCCGTTCCTCCGGGAGCGGGGAAGGGGAGAGCCCCGGTGCGGGGGGGGACGGGGACGGGACACGGACCTCGATTGTTGTCAGCTCGGCACCACTCACTGGGAGTGAGTGAACAAGCTACCTGACTGGGTTTAAACCACGACATAAGACAAAAGTGATTTCTGTGAAAATGCCTTCTAATTCCCATGAGAAATTGCCCAAATAATTTACTCAAGAAGGACAATTATCTTTAATATTTTCCCTAAATTCACAAGCTGTGAAGGTAGTGGCAGTGAGTTGTTATGATAGTGCTTTTGTGGAGTGGACCTTAATAACTCTTTTATGCCAAAGATGTTTTAACATTATAGTTTGTATGAAAGAGACATAGTAACTCTTGCTAATAAGTATAAACTGTACTTCT